AATTAGATAAGACAAAAATTATTAAAATAAAATTAGTAGAACATTTTTTGTAAGAAATTATTTACAGCGAGTATTTCTGATTTTTTTCCCAAAAAAAAAAACAAAGTCAATTACCAATTCCTTATGCTTGTGAAAAGTGAATAAAATTAGATAAGGGGAAAAAACAAAAATTATAAGATGAAAACTCATTAAAAATCATTTTTTTGTAAGATTGCTAACAGGAAGTGTTTTCTGATTTTTTCAATTTGGGGCGACAGTAGGGAATGGGGGGGACAGAAGAAAAGATTGGAGTGAGAAAGAGGAGAGAAAGGGTTGAGAGACATGAGAGCGGTGAGAAGGGTTTTTGCGGTTTTTTTTTTTTTTAGTTTTGAGAATGAAAATTATTAAAATACCCCTTAACCTTAAAACTTAGAATCCATTATATATAAGGATATTTTTGTCTACTAAAACCCGGTACATATCGCTAAAATGTACTGAAAAACAGGCATACATATCCATTATATATAAGGATATTTTTTCTTTGAATTTATGTTTTAAAGAATTATTTTTAAATAATTTAGTTTAAATTGAAAAAAAAATCTTTAATAATTTTTGTGAAGCCCTAGAAAATGATATTTTAGAAGTGATAGTGAATTAAAAATTAATGAGACTCATTTATTTTAATATTAAAATGTTTTAATATAAAAAGAATTGTTATAAACGTTCTTTTCTTTTTTTACGTTTTTCTTCGTCCTTGTAGTCACAACCAAGTACCGCCGACACGACATCCCAACTAAACTCTTACCACACTTTTCCGGAGCAAACCATCCCCTCAGGGGCCCTGCACGCGGGTCCTAAAGTGTTCTAAAACTTATACACGCTGCCGAAGGCAATATATGCATTGAGTGCGATCCTTGGAGGTGCGATCACCAGTACTATGGCAACCGGATACCATCAGGAAACTCCGCCGTAGGAAGTCTCGTGTTGCACTTCTTTTTTTGAAGTTGGCCCCGGACGCTGTCCCCAAGTGTTTAAAACTGATATCAGAATCCGCAGGAGTTAGGGCTGCTTGGATGGGCCCTCGCACGGATTTGTCCCCAAGAGTGTTAAACATTAACACGCTGCCGGAAGCCATATATGCATTTTTCCGTGTGCGATTTGGCAGGGTGCGATCATTACCAGCACTTAATGAACCGGATCCCATCAGAACTCCGCAGTTAAGAGTCTTGGGCGAGAGTCAGTACTAGGGATGGGTGGACCTCTGGGAAGTCCTCGTGTTGCACCGCGTTGTCCCTGCCGAAAGCCATCTATGCATCATCGTGCGATACTTGCAGTGGTGCGCTCATTACCAGCATACGCACCGGGGCCGAAGCCATATATGCACACCATACGAACCCCAATCGTGCGATACTTGGCACACGGACTAAGACCCACTCCTACAGCCACTCTTACCAATGCACCGGATCATCAGGAATTCCGACAGTAACGTGCTTGGGCGAGAGTAGTACTTAGGATGGGTGACCATCTGGGACAGTCCTCGTGTTGCACCTCTTTTTTGAAGTTCTTATCTTTTTTGCGTTCTTCTCTTTTTTGAAGTTGCTTTCTTTTTTAACGTTTTCTTCGTCCTGTTAGTCGCAACCAGTACCGCCGACACACATCAAAATAACTCTTACCACGACTTTTCCGGAGCCAAACCATCACCTCAGGGCCCTCGCACGCCGTGTCCCCAAGGGTAAAACTTATACACGTGCCAAGCCAGATATGCTTGATGTGCGATACTTGGCAGGTGCGATCATAACAGCACTAATTGCACCGGATCCCATCAGACTCTGCAGTAAGCGTGCTTGGGCGAGAGGAGTAGTACTAGGATGGGGACTCCTGAAAAAGCCGGTGTTGCACCTATTTTTGACGTCTTCTTTTTTACGTTTTTCTTAGTCCTTGTTAGTTCGGTAAACCAAGTACGCCGACACACATCCAAAATAACTCTTACCACGACTTTTCGGAGCAAACCATTCCACCTCAGGGCCCTCGCACGCGTGCCCAAAGTGTTAAAAATTATACACGCTGCAGAGACGCCATATATGCAGATGTGCGTACTTGGCAGGTGCGATCATACAGCACTTATTGCACCGGATCCCATTCAGAACTCTGCAGTTTAAGCGTGTTGGGCGAGATGACTAGGATGGGTGACCTCTCGGAAGTCCTCGGGTTCACCCTTTTTTTGACGTTCTTTTCTTTTTTTTACGTTTTTTCTTCGTCCCTTGTTAGTCGCAACCAAGTACCGCCGAACGACATCCAACTAACTCTTACCACGACTTTTCCGGAGCAAACAATCCAACCCAGGGCCCTCGCACGCGTGTCCCAAGTGTAAAACTTATTACACGCTGCGGACCGAAGCCATATAGGCATTGATCGTGCGATACTGGCGGTGCGATTCATACCAGCACTATAATGCAACGGATTCCCATCAGAACAACGCAGTTTAAGCGTGCTTGGGCGGGAGAGTAGTACTAGGATGGGGACCACCTGGGACGTTCGTGTTGCACCTTTTTTTTGACAGTCTTTTTCTTTTTTTACGTTTTCTTAGTCCTTGTGTCGCAAACCAAAAAGTACGCCGACCAGACATCCAAAACTAACTCTACCACAATTTTCCGGAGCAAGCCATCCACCGGGGCCCTCGCACGAGTGTCCCCAAGTGTAAAAACTTATTACCCGCTGCCGAAGCCATATATGCAGTGTCGTTAGCGATGCTTGAGGCAGGTGCGATCATACCAGCCTAATTCACGGATCCCTTCAGAACACCGAGTTAACGTGCCTGGGCGAGGAGAGAGAGTGAGGTCGGAGAGTAGTACTAGATGGGTGTCCAACTGGGAAGTCCTCGTTTTGCACCTTATCTTTTTTTTTTTTTGACGTTTCTTTTCTTTTTTAAGTTTTTCTGCGTCCTTGGTGTTAGTAGCACAATACGCCGAAAACATCCAAACTAACTCTTACCACGACTTTTCGGAGGCAAACCATACACCTCAGGGCCCTCGCACGCGTTGTCCCTAAGTGTTTTTAAAACTTATAAGACGCTTCCGAAACCATATTGCAAGATCGTTGCGATGCTTGGCAAGGTGCGATTCCTAACCAGCACTAATGCCCCGAATCCCATCAGCAAACTCCGCCAGTTAAGCGTTCATGGCAAAGGAGAAGTATAGGATGGGTGACCTCCTCGGAATCCTGTGTTGAACCTCTGTTATTTTTTTTTTGACGTTGTTTGGTTTGTTTTTTGTTTTTTTTTTCTTTTGAGGTTGTTTTTTGGTCTTTTTTGTCTTTGTTTTTTTTTGCCCAGGGTGCGGGGGGGGGGCTGGGGGGAGGGGAGGGGGGGGGGGGGGGGAGGGGGTGCGGGGGGGGGGGGGGGGGGGCGGGGGGGGGGGGGGATGAAGGGGGGGGGGGGGGGGGGGGGGGAGTGCGGGGGGGGGGGAGGGGGTGGGGGGGGGGAGGCAGTTGTTTTGTGGTGGTTTGGTTGTGTGTGTGTGGTAGGGGCGTGGTTTGTGTCGTGGTTTTTTGGGTGTGGGTAGGAGGAAGGGGGGGGGGGTGGGGGGGGGGGGGGGAGGAGGAGGGGTGGGGGTTTTGTTTTTTTCTTTTTTTATTTTTTTGCTTTTTTTTTTTTTTTTTTCTTTTCTTTTTTTACGTTTTTCTTCGTCCTTGTTAGTCGCAACCAAGTCGCCGACACGACATCAACTAATTTACCACGATTTTCCGGAGCAAGCAATCCACATCAGGGGCCCTAGCAACGCGTGTCCCAAATGTTAAAACTTACAAGTGCCGAAGCAATATATGCATTGATCGTGCGATGCTTGGAGGTGCGATCATACCAGAGAATATGCACCGGGGTTCCCATCAGAACTATCAGTTAAGCGTTGCTTGGGTGAGAGTTGTACTAGGATGGGTGACCCTTCTGGGCAGTCCTCGTGGTGCACCTCTTTTTTTTTGACGTGGCCCTCGCACGCATGTCCCCAAGTGTTGAAACTTATACACGCTGCCGAAGCCATATATGCATTGATCGTGCGATACTTGGCAAGTGCGATCATACCAGCACTAATGCACCGGATCCCATCAAAACTCCGCAGTTAAGCGTGCTTCGGCGAGAGTAGTACTAGGATGGGTGACCACCTGGACGTTCCTCGTTTGCACTTCTTTTTTGACGTTCGTTTCTTTTTGGAAGTTTTCTTCGTCCTTGTTAGTCGCAACCAAGTACCGCCGACAACAAGACATTCCAACTAACTCGTACCACGACTTTCGGAGCACCGCCTCCACATCAGGGCCCTCGAGCAGTGTCCCCAAGTGTTAAAACTTACACGTGCCGAAAGCCATATATGCATGATCGGCGATGTGGCAGGTGCGATCATACCAGATTAATGCACCGGATCCTCAGAACAACGCAGTTAGCGTGCTTGGGCGAGAGTAAGTAGTACTAGGATGGGTTGTCCACCTGGGAAGTCCTCGTTGCACCTATTTTTGACGTTTCTTTTCTTTTTTTACGTTTTTCTTCGTCCTTGTTAGTCGCAACCAAGTACCGCCGACACGACATCTAACTAACTCTTACCACGACTTTTCCGGACCAAACCATCCACCTCAGGGCCCTCGCACGCGTGTCCCCAAGTGTTAAAAATATACACGCTACGACAAGCCATACTATGTATTGATCGTGCGATTGCTGGCAGGTGCGATCATACAGCACTTAATGCACAGAACCCATCAGAACTCCGCAGTTAAAGCGGGCATGGCTGAGAGTAGTACTAGAGGGACCTCTCGGAAGTCCTCGTGTTGCACCTCTTTTTTTGACGTTCTTTTCCTTTTTTTACGTTTTCTGCGTCTGTTAGTCGCAACCAAGTACCGCCGACACCGACATCTAACTAAACTATTACCAGACTTTTCGTACCAAACCATACACCTCAGGGCCCTCGCACGCGTGTCCCAAGTGTTAAAACGTATCACGATGCCGAAGCAATATATGCATTGATCATGCGATGCTTGGCAGGTGCGATCGTACCAGCACTAATGCACCGGATCCCATCAGAACTTCGCAGTTAAGCGTGCTTGGGTGAGAGTAGTACTAGGATGGGTGACCTCCTGGGCAGAGTCCTCGTGTTGCACCTCTTTTTTTGACGTGGCCCTCGCACGCATGTCCCCAAGTGTTGAAACTTATACACGCTGCCGAAGCCATATATGCATTGATCGTGCGATACTTGGCGGGTGCGATCATACCTGCACTAATGCACCGGATCCCATCAGAACTCCGCAGTTAAGCGTGCTTAGGCGAGAGTAGTACTAGGATGGGGACCTTCTGGGAAAGTCCTCGTGTGCAACCTTTTTGACGTTCTTTTCTTTTTTTACGTTTTTCTTAGTCCTTGCTTAGTCGCAACCAAGTACCGCCGACACGACATTCTAACTAACTCTTACCGACTTTCCGTAACCCCAAACCATCCACCTAGGCCCTCGCACGGTGTCCCCAATGTTAAAACGATACACGCTGCCGAAGCAATATAGCATTGATCGTTGCGAGGCTATTGGCAAGGGGTTGCGATATTTACCAGAACTAATGCTCGATCCCATGAGAACGCCGACAGTAAGCGGCTTGGGTTGAGAGTTACTGGTGGGTGACTCCTGGGCAGTCCTCGTGTTGCACCTCTTTTTTGACGTTCTTTTCGTTTTTTACGTTTTTCTTCGTCCCTTTTGTCGCACCAAGTATCGCGACCGACATCCAACTACTCTACCACATTTTCCGGAGGGCCAAAACCATTCCCCTCAGGGTCCCTCGCACGCGGTCCCAAGTGTTAAACATATGTACACGTGCCGAAGCGATATATGCATTGATCGTGCGATACTTGGCAGGTGTGATCATACCAGCACAAATGCACCGGATCCCATCAGAACTCCGCAGTTATGCGTGCTTGGGCGAGAGTAGTACTAGGATGGGTGACCTCCTGGCAAGTCCTCGTGTTGCACCTCTTTTTTTGACGTTCTTTTCTTTTTTTACGTTTTTCTTCGTCCTTGTAGTCGCAACCAAGTACGCGAAACACGACATCCAACTAACTTTACCACGACTTTTCAGGGAGGCAACCATCACCTCAGGGCCCCTCGCACGCGTGTCCCCAAGTGTTTAAAACTTATACACGCTTGCCGAAAGCCATATATGCATTGATGTGCGATAATGGCAGGTGCGATCATACCAGCACAATGCCGGATCTTCATCAGAAACTCCGCAGTTTAAGCGGCTTGGGCGAGGAGAGTTAGGAGTTAAGAGTGCTGGGGTGTGAGCGGAGAGTAGTACTAGGATTGTACCTCCTACCCCACACCCCCCCCCCCCCCTAGGAAGTCCTCTGTTGCACCTCTTTTTTTGACGTCTTTCTTTTTTACGTTTTTCTTGTCCGTGTTAGTCGCAACCAAGTAACCGCCGACACGACATCCAATAACTCTTACCACGACTTTCCGAGAATGCCATCACCTCAGGGCCCTCGCCGCGGGTCCCCAAGTGTTTTTAAAAAACTTATAAACGCTGACGAAGCCATATATGCATTGATCTGTGCGGATACTTGGCAGCTGCGATATACCACACTAATGCACCGGATCCCCTCAGAACTACGCAGTTAAGTTAAGCGTGCTTGGGCGAGAGTTAGTACTAGGATTGGTGACCTCCTGGGAAGTCCTCGTGTTGCACCTTTTTTTTGACGCGTTCTTTCTTTTTGTACGTTTTTCTTCGTCATGTTAGTCGCAACAAGTACGCCGACACGAATCCAACTACTCTACCACGACTTTTCCGGAGCCAACCATCCCAAATCAGGGCCCTCGCAAGCGTTGTCCCCAGTGTTGTTAAATTTTTAAAACTTTTATACGACGCTGCCGAAGCCATATATGCATGGGATCGTGCGATAACTTGGCAGGTGCGCTCATACCAGCACTAATGCAACCGGTCCATCAGAAATCCGCAGTTAAGGTGCTTGGCGGAGAGTAGTAATAGGATGGGTGAACTCCTCGAGTCTCGTTGTTGCACCTCTTTTTTGACGTTCTTTTCTTTTTTTTAGTTTTTTCTTAGTCCGTGTTGTTAGTCGCACCAAAAGTACCGCCGGACACGACATCTAACTAACTCTTACCCACGACTTGTCCGATAAGAAACCACTCCACCTCATGGCCCCTCGCACGAGTGTCCCCAAGTGTTTAAAAACTATACACGCTGCGAAGTGCCCTTAGCATTAACCGTCGATCTTGGCAGTGCCGATCATACCAGCACTTATGACGGATCCATCAGAACTAGACAGAGTGGAAGCGTGCTTGGGCGTGAGAGTGTAGTACTAGGATGGGGACCTCCTGGAAAAGTCCTCGTGTTGTTTTACCCCTCTTATGTTTGACGTTCTTTCTTTTTTTACGTTTTGTCTTCGTCTTGTTAGTCGCAACCAATTTCGCCGCATGTAATCCAACTAAA